TTGTGTGATGATGTCATCTCAGTCAAATTTGGGTGTAAGCTGGAATTTGCTAATTCCCCAATTTTTTCTTCAACCATATTGCTATCTATAGTGGGTGGTGTAGAGACAGAAATATTATTTATAGTTTTATGCTTTTTTTTCTTATTTTGTTCTTCCATTGAGCTGTAGTTTTCTATGTAGATGTGTGTAGATCGTGTTTTCTTTTCTTGAGCATCTATAGCACACTTTCTGTTATTCTTGTTGTTGTTTTTGTCAGTTGCCGACTCAGTCAGTAACAAGGTTAAAAAAGAGACTGGAGTGCAGAAAGCTGTTTCTCTGTTCTGTTTAATCGTTGATAGTCTGTGTCTGTAACTATATTAGTGTTTATAATAATTATTTAGTTATAGTATAGTCGGACTTGATTTCTAAACTTTCACAAATTCAAATTTATCACTTATTGTATCACAATATATGTAACAAATTTTGGATCAACTATTGAATTGGCCCTGGATTGGCCCTAGATTGACTCTAGATCAATCTGAATTTCAGATTCAGATAGGATTTGGATCAATTCTGGATAAATCAGAATTTTTAATCTAATTTTAAATACTAGTAGAACTCTAATAATAGGTAAACTACTTAATTAAATACTTAAAAAATACAGATATAGCTAGAATATACTCTTGTTAACCAAGAATATACTACTAAAATACCTAATAAAAATTCATCTTTCTGCAACATTGCAAAGATAAAAAAAAAAAAAAAATTTAATTTTTATTATATAAATAATAGAGTTTTATAATTTAGCATATATGCATTGTAACGCACCCACCTGATTGATCAATCAGATTGTAAGATTAGGTGTAATGTGAAATTAAAAAAAGTAGCAATGTTTTGAAAAAATGCCTATAACTTATAATTTTGCTTATGAAACCATCTTTTGTGTTCTAATAAAAAAAAATTATTTGCAAAATTTTGGGTATAACTAATATTTACTTACAATCTAATCTAACTTTCTATTAGTATTAACTTTTACTCTAAATTAATGCGTTGCTGGTTTGTTTTAATTTCATATTATACCGGATCTTATGGGTGCATTACAATGCATCTGCATTAAATTATAAAATTCTAAATAATAAATATAATATAATATATTTATAATATTTTTAAGGAAAGTTATATTTATAACACCATGTTATATAATATCTTTTGCAATATCTCAAAAACATACTAAGTAAATGGGTGTAAGTACTCTAAGTAAAAATGATTAGCACCTCTGAAAACATCATAAAAACTAAAATTGGAACCTATCAAAACCTTATGTCTAATATATATTGTATAATAAAAAATCTCTATATATCTTAAAACTGGACCCTAACCCTAAGTAAGACATATAGAGTATTATAATAATATAATGTTATGAATACTAGGAACCAGAAACCAGTTTAAATCCAGAGCTCATTATTGCTATTTTACACAAACGCGTAAATGTGCATAATTTTTTTTACACAATGTACAAATATAGATACACAGCGTTACAGACAGAAAATGCTGAAACAACTTTTTTGATCTTTTTTTTATAGATAAATCAAAATTGTAATTTTAGTTATCAAAGCACATAGAAGTATGAGTCCTCCGCTTCACTTCGGACAATAATATTTCTATTTTTAATATTATAAGCTTTTAGTTTATAAAATTTACTAATAATTTATAAAAATAAATATAAATAACAATGTACTAAATCTAATATATTCAAAATTACAAATTTTAAATATTTAAAAAAATTATTTAAAAATAATTTTCTTAATAATATTAAAATTAATAATGCCAAACTATTTTTGAATATCTAACAGATCTTTGTATATTAAAATATAAATATATACTATATAATTTTTTAAAATTTTAATCTATTTTATAAACTGTACTAAAACTAGTACAATACATAAATCCATTCCATTAAAATTAAATTAAAATTAGGTTTGAAGTAAACTTTAAGCTAGAATAAAGTTTTTTTTAGAATATTAAACATTTTTGCTTAATGCGTCAAATATAATTATTTGATTTTTTTTTTAAGTTATAATAAGATAGTTTATGTTAACTAGAAAAACAAATTAATAATATTTATAAATAAAAGTATATAAAAGGTTTTATTAGAGTTATATAACTTAATAATTAAAATAATTAAATTTTTTTATTTAGAGAAGTTATTATAATACAGTAATAATCTATTTTTTAAAAGTTATTATAATATTATGCTAACTTAAACAAAATAAAATTTTGATTATTTTTAATAGTAAATAACCCTAATAAAACTTAATATATATATTTATTTTATTTATTTTTTGTAGTTTAAAAAAGTACTTTAAACTGTATAAATAATATAAAATTAAATTGATTTAAATAGCAAATTACAGTATATAAAAGTCCTTCTATGATATTTAGTTCTCTAAACATAATAAGTTAGAAAGTGGATCTTTTTGAATTCTTTTGTATAGTGAATATTAACGTTCGTTCAAAGCCAAGAATGACTTTTATGGCGACTTTCTATTAGTGAAACGGTATTTTCTTAGGAAGTACTCTAAAATGTATAAATAAATTACCCGGGCAATTGATTTCATCAGCAATCAGATGAATGTCGTCCCATGAATAGTGATAATCACTACTGATTGAGATCGTGATTATGACGAAGATAAGACTTTTATTGTATCAGAAAATCCTTTTAGAAATTGGTCAGGACTTATTCTCAAAAGATCGTTTGACGCTCTTACATTAGGGATAGTAAAAAAAACACTTTTTAATGAATTTTATGCTTTTAACTTGATTTAATAAAATGGTTTAAAGCATTGTTGATTATGGCGTTGATGGATAAAGCTAAATTACTGTATCTAATTGGTTAATTCAACTTTAGTGTTGCTGTGAAATATGCATGTTTCTTGACATCGGTTTGTGATACAAGAGTCAAAAAAGTCAAGATTCGGATTTATAACCATAATCGTAACCGTTCATGTAAGATAGGGATGGCAGCTGATTTAACACAATGGTTTAAATGATTTTTTAAACATCCTGATGATATCATAATACTGATACGGAAGTATTATGCTGCGCCACAATCACGATCGACGGTGGTGCAGCAAAATACTGTTACATGCAGGGCGCGGGAAAAAAAGCCCGTTGATTTCTGAAATTTTGAAGGCTATAAAAACAATGTTCCACAATCGTTGAACTTATTATATGTAATTATATAGTATGATAAACACACTTTCAGCAAATGGGCTCCATTTGTATCTCTCACACGCAACAAATCTTCAAAGTTGACTGGGTCGGACCTGGCCCGACCGGTTAACTTTGAAGATTTGTTGCGTGTGAGAGATCCCATTTGCTGAAAGTGTGTTTATCATATTAATTACATAGTCGATTGTGGAACATTGTTTTTATAGCCTTCAAAATTTCAGAAATCAACGGGCTTTTTTTTCCGCACCCTAGTTACATGTAAGAGCGTCAAACGACCTTTTGAGAATAAATCCTGAACAATTTCTAAAATAATATGTTAGAACTCACAATAGAAGGCACTTATCTCTGTCACAATCACAATCGCAATGGATACAGAATTTTGCAAATCGCGATAATTGACAGATATTTTATATGTATAAAATAATTTGATTGACAACTCCAGACATAGTAAAACCTAACAACTAACAACGTTGTAATACTTTTCTTTTTCGAATTTTAAAGAATTGATTTGTTTATATCCAAAAAAAAAAAATCTATACAATGCTTATATACAATATTGATAGTGAACATCTCGCGAATCAACATATCACACATACAATGTCTCAATATATAAAGTTATAGAACTATTTATCGGGTATCGATATTTAAAAATAACATCAAACCAACTTTTTGCTTATTCAAGCTACATATAATAAGTAATATTTGAATTTTGAGCTACGTGATGTCTAGTGGCAGGATTTCGAGAAGCCTTTTCATTGTTAACAACTTCGTCAGCAAAATGAACACGAATCTTTTCATTGCGTCGGGAACCCGAGATTAAACAACCGCGTTGAGGAAGATCAGATTTAATTATTTTATTTGATTTGCTTTTTGAGTTAATCTTAGGACCGCCATCTGTTATTATCTTGGTACCCTATAATATTAATCAACATTGATAAACATTGATAAAGATTGAGGAGAAAAATAATCATGTATATAAATAAAACATTATTAGTAACATGACATACTTGTTTAGTTCCACCAAGAAATTTAATTAATTCATCGCGATTCGTCAATGCGAGATATTGTAAATAAAACTCAAGATGAAACCGTCTAAATTCGATAAATTCAAGATTGAATCTTCCTAATAATGATCAGGAATTTCACGTGAAATTTATGGTCTATATATATGTTTATGTTTATAATTATATGTTTACGTAATTATACCATATCGCTTCTTTGGGGTAAGCGGTGGAATAGCAGAATTTCCATATTTGTGCACAAGTCTTTTGTGCAGCTTGTAAAAATCAGTATATCTTCTATTGATGAACAATTTTCCGACTTGGCCATGCACCCAATACTTTGATGATAATAATTACATCATTTTAAGAACAATTAATATGACAATGGAAAAATTATAACATTATGATGAAAATACTCACACGACATACTATTTGGTAAGAGACATATCTGTCAAGACCAAGCAATGCATCAACTAAGGTCCAACCAGGAATTGAGACCTAAAGAAACAAAATTTAATGAGGACAAGGAAGGATTATAGGAAAAATTATATCAAAAATCACCTTGCACTTAAAATCAAGTAACAATGGGTCTGTAAGTAGAAACAATTAATGACTTAAAAAGATTGTTAGGTATGTAAAGCAAAAATAAAAAAAAATCATCTTTAACGACATAAACATACTATAATGAATACGCTTTCGGTCATCAAAGACGAATGTAGAATAGCTGCCGCCACCGAAGGAGGAGTTTTGTATTTTATATAAAGAAGACATACTATAATTGGATAATATTTAAAGTGTGCTAAGATAAGTCGGAATACCTTGTAATATACGATATATTATATATTATAACTTATATAACTAGATTATTCTTATTGAAGCTCGAGAAAGAAGACAATATGATATTCGGAAAGGATTTCGTGCAAAAAGAAGACAAAAAAAAAATATGATGATAAAACCAAAAAATAGTAAATGAGATGGTTTATATTTATTGAAATGCGCCACTTAATATTAGATGCAAGCCACGATGTACATATATATTTTCTTTATACCAGTTTTTCCTGTTAGATTTCTAAAATATATTAATGAAAAATGAAAATATTTTAGTAACGTAATGCATACGCATATGGCTTTATTTGTCCTGATTACTCTTGATTACTTCAGCACTTGATTTCATCACTAATTTTTGATCTATGACTAAGTCCTTGTTACAACCGGTTTATTGTCACTTTGGTTCAGAGTGATCACACAATGATAGATCGTCTTTGAAAACATATGTTAGTATTTCAAATTTTTACAATATTAATCGAATTATTAATTCTTTACAATTTTTCCACTTGATATGTTGCATTATGTATCTATAATAATCTATAATAATGTTATTGTTCTTCCATAACGAGCTTAATTGTAATTTAATAAAGTGACTAAATCATGTCGGTATGGAATTATAACACATATTTGTGTGCGTACGTATTTCGTCATAAAATTTCATCAAGTTACATGATTATGCATTAATCTTATGAAAGAATTGTTAGAACAACTTCTGTGCGTATCATTCGCTATGTTCTCCGATTGGTTACTCATTGACGTACATTATTCATTTAAATTTTTAAAGGCAAAAATATACTTTAAAGTAGAATCTGACGGGACCTTAATCTTACAGTAACAAACTTTCATGGAATGTCTTAAGGATAAATTATAATCAAAATAATTTTTTTTAAGTCACATGTATTATTATGTATTATATATTAGTTTAATCAAATCAAAATAATTCATAAAAATCCATTTTTAAACAATTTAATCATTTATTCCATTTTTGACATCTGATAATCATACAATCTAAGTAAATTTCTTTCAAGCATTGCTATCGTAACTTTACCAATCGTCGGAACATAAATGCTGGCTTTTTCTTTAACATTATCTTCAAAATTTTTGTATGCTGAAAAATTTATTGCAATTACTCCGTCTCGTAATAAGGATGTTGGAATTTTGTATGATTGTGATGGAACACCTGTTATTACAACATCGGATATTGGAATCACATCTTCAAGTTTGAAATTCGTCTCGATAACCTTTATTAGATATATAAATGTAAATATAAAATAAATGTATGTGTATACCGTTGGACACCGCATACAGTACCCGGAGTCTTATTCAAGAACTTTAATTAAATAGTACTCACGGGTACTGCATGAGAATCGGAGGATATATCATATGAAAAAAGTAATAAATTAATACAGTGTTATACCCCCCGGGTATTATTCATGAATTAAGCCAGGTGGGCGGTGAATAATACCGGGTCTCGATTAGAGGGGTAATATTTTTGGAATATCGTATGCAATGACGAACAGTATATATTTGATTGTTTACTAATGTAAAAAAGGCAAACAAGCAAGTTTATTAATAGGAAATTATTTACCTCATGCTTTTTAAGTCTTAATCCAGTACCACGATTAAATTCTTGAACACCATTAATATCAATAGAATAAACCTTTCCACCATCATTGGCCAATAAAGCAGCAAGAGGACGTCCAACGATTTCACTTCTATTTACTACGGTAATCACACGACCATGCAAACGATTCCCATATGTGATAATTGGATTGTATACACCAACATATTCCAATACCTACGTTATCAATAAAATTATTAATGCCTAAAATTATTAACAAGACAGTTATATACTCTTACCTTGATTATAGCTAAAGGTGTGCAAGGGATGATACATTTTTTGGTTTGTTCCTTGTCAAGAAATCGAATGTTGTGATACATGTTATATACATATTTGTGACATAACCCTTCGACATCTTTAGTTGAATCAACAACATTCTGAAGATATTGATCCTATAAATTAAATAATAAGTTTCTAAATGTTTTTTTAAAGACAATTTTATCCTGAATTTAAAAAAAAATCCATAATCATACTTGACGATCTCCAAAAACTGGATAATAAACCATTATTCCATTTATATTTTCATCTTCATTAGCTTTTACGATTTCATCTTCCAAGTCCTCTCTATTACATTTCCTCAATTCAAATTTCACTCCTGTTTCGGAACAAGTCTTTGCCGTAGCTTCCGCGTACTTGAAAGCTGCAGGATCTTGATTAGCAAGAAATCCAACAAGCTTTGGATGAATTCCGCGTGAATTTATTGTATTTTTTATTTCTTCTCTAAAAGGTTTTAACACCAAACGTTGAAGTAAAAAAGAAGGGAAAGGTCGTTTCATCCACCTGTATCATTTTTTATTGTTTTATTTTTTTTTTTTTTTGCACAATGCTTGCCTTTAACTTTTCATGAGAAAGGTGTTGGCATTGCCGCTACGAGATTAATGTTGAACCCGAGGAAGAAGGAAAATTTGAGGAAAATCCATTTACCTATAACCGGCAGAAATTTCTCCAGCCAATACTGTTCTACACGACATTTTCTTCTTCAGTTGCTTTATTAATAAGATCTCGCTAACTTTAAGTTTGCGTTTTAGGCGTACGAAACAATCAAAATAAAAAAAAAAAGAGCTCGCTTATCGATAATCTTATCATTATTTAAAAAATCATCCAATCAATAAC